GGGCCACCTGCTGACTTAGAAGAAACAATAAAATTTTAAGGACTTCTGGTGATACTGTACGGCAACTCACTCCTGGGGGTGCCGATGGTACCAGATCCATCAGGAAATCCGATCAACGCAGCTGATGCTAGACTGACCGCTATAAATTCCCTATGTAGTGACATGAAATATTGTTTATCCTCTAAATCCCCTATCGCCAGAACAAAGCTCCCTCCCTCTTCAGTACCCATCGAAAATATAGCGATCCTGCAACTATGTAGGACACTCGATTGAAATGCCAGCAAGCATTCCATCAGATGTTTTGGCTGCACGGAGGTGAACGCGTGCGTGTGTGCTATACGGTTACCGGTAAGCGCTGATTGAGTAGTTCCTCCCTCTAATAGTCGCCATCTTTGTTTTACTGGCAACTCCTCGCAGATTTCACAGAGAGGCTTACTACATGGTCTGCAAACATCTACAATGCTTAAGAGGTGTTTCACCTCCAGGTTACCTTGAGCATATGATAGCCACATTACTCAGTTTATAGAAGTCTATCTCAGTGCGTGTAGTGTTGGCCACCTGAAGGTGTACTCTTGAGCTGGCATCTAATCTCACAAGTTCAACATATGTTATGGTTAATTGCTTGAAATTTTGATTAGTTCATTTTTTCTTGAACTAAACATCACCCTCATACAGGCTCATTTCAGCTAGTCCGATCTTATCGAAAACGCATTCTGAAACCTGACTCAAGCGATGCGAAACTTTATATACGATCTCCACAGAATTATTCAAGCGTTCAGTGCAGATGAGAAGTTGAACTGAGAACAGCAGCTGTTGTATTTGTGGGCTTAGGCGAGATGCGCCGGTGCTCTTTCTTCGGATACGCTCTTCGTCAATTTCTTACCAGACGCTAGAATCAATTAACATAACAACTGTGTTGTACCGCTTTGAAGAGTTGGAAGATTCTTCATCAAGTCATCTACGATTTCAGCTGTTCATTTTTATACATTTTATCTTTGTCACCCAAACATGGAGCTCACCAAACTTTTTCAAAATGTTGGAAAGATGAACGTGGGTGAGAAAAATCGTTAACCGAATCACTACTCCGCCTACGAAATCTGTCTTGATAGTGCGGGTCCTGACCTCCAGCGCTAAAGAATTGAAGAGCTGGGTCCCGATGGAAACCTACAAGTCCTTCGAAAAAGCGTTCACGTTCCATATCATTACGTCTACGCTCGTCGTCCATACGTTTATAGTAGGTGTCGTACTCACCACGTGATACCACACCATCTCCTGTGAAAGGCTTATTCTTCTTATAGACATTACATTATTTTCAAATTTGTGAACAAAACACCATACCCCAGATTCTTCTTATAGACAACTGTACATCCACACACACTAAATCTCCGACAAATAGCCCTCACCCTCCTCGTCCGAGCTTGTGAAAAGCGGCCGATTGTTTCTTCAATGTACTCGAGGTCACAACACCAGAATAGAAATTCGGCTACGTTGATCTGCTCGTTCCGTCGGTTCCAGACGTCGAAACTCTTAAAAATACCACATTTCATTGCGGCATTACTTTCTTATATTTGTCTATACCAATATAAATCTGTATTATGCTTCTCAAACACCCATAATCCTCTCATGCTGAAGTAATCGTGAGCTAACTGATTTCGGATGAACCGTGGATGTTCACAGAGATGTGATGAGCAATAGTAAATTCTCATCGTGGCAATTTTGAGTAAATTCTTCTCTCTGGAGAAAACCACCCGCCGCACTAGTTGGAAATCAGCTACTTCTGCCGTCACTTATGTTTCCGTGCGGGCTGCGGGAGTACAATAGCCGTAGTACCCGTATGTTCCACAAATTACAGTCCATATCTAGAACAGAAAATTCGCATTTGAATACGCCCGGTGACGGCTGCAAGAGAGGCAGAGACGTACATATAGGGAGGAGGGTCGACATGGAATACAGAGCCATCTAGGAGCGTACTCTTGGACACCCCTTCCTGCTCTCCGACAAAACTTCAAAGTACGGTATAGCAACCTCCGATGTGATGAGCATTTATGTATAGTAAGATTTATCTAGGCAGGAAGGTACGGTTCTTCTGCTGGTTTGGAGCTGCGGCCATGAGCGTTGTTGCAGCACGATCTGTAGCAAACCCAACGTTTCTTTTCAAAACATTATTCATCGACCATGAGGGATCCCATTCCCTTGCAAACCACCTTCCTCACTCTCTGCAACTCAACCTAAGGAATTTCTGGGGCCTGGTGCCAGGAGCAGGGTATAGGTAAAAGAGTTGATGACTAAACTTCAAGGGATATGCACTAACCGTTGGCTCTAGGGTTGATCTTGTCGAACGGTATCGGAGTGATCCCTGTGTTTGTTTTCGGTGGTGGTGCTTCTACCACTGCCATTACGCCAACCACTATCGCCATGTAAATAAGCATTACCTTAAAGCATTGCAACAAAGCTATTATCACAGGCAGATAAAGGAGAATAAAGATGAGAGTCAGTCTAGTTGCCGAAACTCTCAAAGACACTTTTCGTTTCGTGTGGCATACACCACAGCAAGGCATAATCTTCAGCTAAATATACTAGTAAATAAAGGTAGTTGTCCGCAGTAAGGAGTAATTGAATGCTTAGAAACCAGAGGTATAAGCAAG